AGTGAATTTATTTCCTTTGGTTTACTTCGGTAGCCATGATTTGCCCTTTCCATGGTTAAAAATCACGTGGTGGGGCTTTCGCTGGGAATTGTGGGTAACATAAAACTAGACTTCCGGCGTGGAGCTTTTCGTCGACAGACCACAACCTACAATCACAACAAAACAAAACCAAAAAATGACTTTTAGGTATTACATTTTTTTTTTTACAGAAACAAAAAACGGTCAGTACCCCGTTAATCTCTACATTCAGTCAAGCAATAAATTAAATTCGTAAACGTAATGTATACGACAGATGAAATAGACTTAAAAAGCAGTGGCGAGATGTGATCAGTTCGCAAGTGTAACTCGCAGAGCCCCCCCCCCCCCCCCCAACCATATCTGGCTGTTCCCGTTGAAGCATGTGCACATACATTTCATATATTTCAAATGTGTATCTTTTCTTCTTATTTGCAATTCAATTATTAAACAGAAATAATAAAAATGAGCAGGACGTGGCTCTCACCCGGAACGCCTCACCCCCCCCCCACGCCTCACCCCGGCTGCCTCATTCCCACACGCCTCACCCCGGCACGCCTCACCGCGGCACACCTAACCCCAGCACGCCTCACCCTGGCACGCCTCACCCCGGCACACCTAACTGCTGCACACCTCACCCCAGCACGCCTCACCCCGGCACGCCTCACCCCGGCACACATCACCCTAGCACACCTCACCCCGACACGCCTCACCCCTGCACACCTCACCTCAGAGCGCCACACCCCGGCACGCCTCACTCTGGCACACCTCACCCCAGCACGCCTCACCCCGGCACGCCTTACCCGGCACACCTGGCACACCTCACCCCTAACAGCCTAAACCAAGCACGCCTCACCTCTGCACGTCTCACACTGGCACGCCTGAAAGTCTGTTTCTCTAACCAATATTCTAACTCACCCCGGCACACCTCACCCCGGCAAGACTTACCCCAGCACGCCTCATCCCAACACGTCTCACCCCGGCACACCTCACCCCCAGCACACCTCAACCGGGCACGCCTTACCCCAACACGGCTTACCCCAGCACGCCTCATCCCAACACGTCTCACCCCGGCACACCTTACCCGGGCAAGCCTCATCAAAATAAGCCTCACCCCGGCACGCCTCATCACAAAACGTCTCAAACCGGCACGCCTCACCCGGGCACGCTTCATCCCAACACATCTCATCCGGCACGCCTTACACCAGCAAGCCTCACCCCAGCACGCCTAACCCTGGCACGCCTCACCCCAGCACGACTCACCCCGGCACACCTCATCCCAACACATCTCACCCCGGCACGCCTCACCCAAGACGCTTCATCCCAACACGTCTTACCCGGCACGCCTTACACCAGCAAGCCTCACCACGGCTGCCTCACCCTGGCACACATCAACACATCACGCCTCACCCCAGCACGCCTCACCACGGTTGCCTCACCCCAGCACGCCTGAAAGTCTTATGTTTTTATTACCAATATCCTGACTCACCCCGGCACGCCTCACCGGAACTCGTCTCACCCCGGCACGCCTTACTACAACACGTCTCAACCCAGCACGCCTCACCCGGGCACGCATTACCCGAACACGTCTCACCGCCGGCACGCCTTACCTGGGCACGTCTCACCCCAAAACGACTCACTCGGGAACGCCTTCCCCCGGCACGCCTCACCTCGGCACGCCTCACTTCGGCACGCCTCACCTTGGCACGCCTCACCTGGGCACGCCTCATCTCTGCACGCCTCACTTCGGCACATCTCACATCGGCACGCCTCACCTCGGCACGCCTCACCTCAACACGCCTCACCCCGGCACGCCTCACCCCAGCACGCCTCAAACCCGGCACGCCTAACCCCAGCACGCCTCACCCTGGCACGCCTCACCCCGGCACACCTCACCCCGGCACGCCTCACCTGGGCACGCCTTATCTCTGCACGTCTTACTTCGGCACAACTCACATCGGCACGCCTCACCTCGGCACGCCTAACCCCAGCACGCCTCACCCTGGCACGCCTCACCCCGGCACACCTCACCCCAGCACGCCTCACCCCGCCACACATCCCCAAGCACACCTCAACCCTGCAGGCCTCACCCGGCACGCCTCACACCTGCACACCTCACCCCAGAGAGCCACACCCCGGCACGCCACACCCCGGCACACCTCACTCCCAGCACGCCTCACTCTGGCACGCCTCAACCGGGCACGCCTTACGCCAGCACATTCACCCAGCACTCCTCATCCCAACACGTCTCACCCCGGCACACCTTACCCGGGCAAGCCTCATCCAAACAAGCCTCACCCCGGCACGCCTCACCCGAGCACGCCCAACCCTGGCACGCCTCACCCCAGCACGACTCACCGTGGCACGCCTCATGCCAAAACGTCTTACGCCGGCACGCCTCATCCGGGCACGCTTCATCCCAAAACGTCTCATCCGGCACGCCTTACATCAGCAAGCCTCACCCCAGCACGCCTAACCCTGGCACGCCTCACCCCAGCACGACTCACCCCGGCACACCTCATCCCAACACATCTCACCCCGGCACGCCTCACCCAAGCACGCTTCATCCTCGGCACATCTCACATCGGCACGCCTCACCTCGGCACGCCTAACCCCAGCACGCCTCACCCTGGCACGCCTCACCCCGGCACACCTCACCCCGGCACACCTCACCCCAGCACGCCTCACCCCGGCACGCCTCACCCCGCCACACATCCCCTAGCACACCTCACCCCTGCAGGCCTCACCCGGCACGCCTCACCCCTGCACACCTCACCCCAGAGAGCCACACCCCGGCACGCCACACCCCGGCACACCTCACCCTGGCACGTCTCACCCTGGCACACCTCACCCCAGCACGCCTCACCCCGGCACGCCTTACTCCGGCACACCTGGCACACCTCACCCCTAACAGCGTAAACCAAGCACGCCTCACCTCGGCACGTCTCACCCTCGGCACGCCTGAAAGTCTGTTTCTCTAACCAATATTCCAACTCACCCCGGCACCCCTCACCCCCAGCACGCCTCACTCTGGCACGCCTCAACCGGGCACGCCTTACGCCAGCACGCCTCACCCCAGCACGCCTCATCCCAACACGTCTCACCCTGGCACACCTTACCCGGGCAAGCCTCATCCCAACAAGCCTCACCCCGGCACGCCTCATCCCAAAACGTCTCACGCTGACACGCCTCACCCGGGCACGCTTCATCCCAACACGTCTCATCCGGCACGCCTTACACCAGCAAGCCTCACCCCAGCACGCCTAACCCTGGCACGCCTCACCCCAGCACGACTCACTCCGGCACACCTCATCACAACACATCTCACCCCGGCACGCCTCACCCAAGCACGCTTCATCTCAACACGTCTCACCCGGCACGCCTTACACCAGCAAGCCTCAACACGGCTGTCTCACCCTGGTACACATCACCACATCACGCCTCACCCCAGCACGCCTCAACACAGTTGCCTCACCCCGGCACGCCTGAAAGTTTCTATTACCAATATCCCGACTCACCCCGGCACGCCTCACCGGAACTCGTCTAACCCCGGCACGCCTTACTACAACACGTCTCACGCCAGCACGTCTCACCCGGGAACGCCTCCCCCCGGCACGCCTCACCTCGGCACGCCTCGCCTCGGCACATCTCACATCGGCACGCCTCACCTCGGCACTCCTCACCTCAACACGCCTTATCTCGGCCCGCCTCACCTCAGCACGCCTTCCCTTAACACACCTTAGCCAGGCACGCCTCACCTGGGCCCACCTCAACCCAACACGTCTCACCCCGGCACGCCTCACACCAGGACTCCTCACCCCGGCACGCCTCACCCGGGCAAGCCTCACCCCAATTCGTCTCTTCCGACAAGCCCCACCCCGGCAAGCCTCACCCTGGCACGCCTCATTTCGCCACGCCCCACCTCGGAGAGCCTCACCCGGCACGACTCACCTCAGCACGCCTCACACCGGCACGCCTCACACCGGCACGCCTCACGTTGGCGAGCTCCCCCCCCCCATGCACGCCTCACCTTGGCGAGCCTCACCCCGGCACGCCTCACCTCGGCACGCCTCACCTCGGCACGCCTCATCTCGGCAAGCCTCACCTCAGCACGCCTCACCTCGGCACGCCTCACTTCCGCACGCTTCATCTCGGCAAGCCTCACCTCAGCAAGCCTCACCTCAGCACGCCTCACCATAACACGCTTCACCCCGGCACGCTTCACCTGGGCACGCTTCACCCCAACACGTCTCACCCCGGCACGCCTCACCTGGGCACGCCTCACCCCAACACGTCTCACCCCGGCACGCCTCACCCCAACACGTCACCCCCGGCAAGCCTCACCCAGGCAGGCCTCACCTGGGCACGCCTCATCTCGGCACGCCTGAAAGTCTCTTTCTCTAATCAATATTCCGACTCTGTGTGCTAGCACAGCCTATGCTTCATTTATCTACATGCACAGATGTCTGACTCGTCCTCGTGTCCCGGAAACCGTACCTTCCATCGCCGTTCTCGGCAAGCCACCATACATTTAACATGGCCGACATAGCTTAGCTGTCGGTGTTAGGTTTATAGTTTATACACCAGACCAACATCAGGGCACAAGTGCATAAGTGCTCCCTTCTTTTTCAAACTCAAACCTGAGTCGGAAGAAGCTCATCGCAGTGCACGATCTCTGCAGCACCGGCGAGGATCCTGAAATATTTAGGGTAGATTTTTTACTCAAAATTTTACTCACGCAGCCCACTTAGTCTACTCGTTTCTTTCTAAAAGTGCCAATGGTTTTTTTCTTAACATGCTGTACATGCGCAATTAATACACACGGGTGCCTGATTTTACCACCAGGGGAAATAACTCGAAGTCCACGTAAAAAATTCCCAGCCATCACCGCTACCTGAACTCAGGACCTCAAGCACTCGAGGCGGACACCATGCCTCTAGACCACTCGGTCCAGCGTTAGGAATAATAATAACAAAAGCAATTAC